GAACATTCTATTTACATAACTTTGTTCAGATTTTAGATGCTATCATTTGTACACTGTATGCACCATATGTACAGCATTTTTCTTTTTTTCTTCTTCATATTTTAAAAATGCCAATTGGAAGGAAAATGAATGAAAAGACAAATTTTGGATTATTGTGAAGGGAAAGATATTATACAAAAATGGAATAAATCTAAAATCAGCATTAAATTTTTTGAGAATTGACATGAAGTAACAGCAGTAAGAATTGACCCGTAGAGGTTATTGTCATCCCCTACCTTTTTCAAGAGAGAGCACCAAAAAATGAATTGTGCTCTTAAATAAATTTGATTTTGATATCATTGTAAGAAAAGTCTGACAAGTTTTCCATGATCAGTCTACATAGTGTTTCAATCCAAAATAAAGGCAACACTTGCTTTGTTGACTTGAGGTTAACAAGATAAAAAGTGCATTGAGTGAAGAAAGTCTTATTTCAATCAAATAACAATGGAAGAAGGTGGCATTTTCTGTTGAGGACAGGTTCAACTGAAATGCTCCCAATAGAATGTAATGTTATGGATAAGGTTTTTCCAAACATCCTCTTTTTGAAAGCTGATAGTGATAGAAGGCAAACAAATTGTTCAGTATTACATAGAAATATTGAGATAGGAGTCATTACTGACTTTAATTATGGAATAAATGTTAAAATTATAACACAGCCATTTAGAATGCTAAGCTCATCACAGAATGGTTTGTGAACTGGCTTAAAATCTCTCAAGTCCATTAAGTACTTGGGAGATGTTCTTTCAAGATGGTTTTATAAGCAAATAAGTCAAGTTGAGAAAAGCCAAGATGAAATTTCAGTGAAAACATTGCAAAATCTTTGTCCTCAAAGCAAAACCAATGTTTTCAGGTTTTCTGAACCAAAAAAGAAAATCTTGTAATTTCTGTTCCCTTTTCATATTTAATTAAAGAAAACAATCCATGTTTTGTACTTATTTCCATCTCTGAAACTTTTCTTTTCTATCTAAATTTGTATGTAACGATTTTCTGAAAGCCTTCAACTAAAAATTGAATTGAACATCTAGTTTTTCAACTAATATTTTGACCAATATTTGAAATTTCTAATAATTATCTTCACTATTTAGGGGTGCCTCTAAAATATGAGATGGGGGTGAAAAGAAGCCCTTAAACCACCCCCATTGTTTTTTGTATAAATAAAAACAAGGTTATGCTGAAGTCCTCATACCCACTTTGTAAAATCTGCTCAAACATCAGAATTCTAAAATCTTTACTTGTTCTAGCCAAGCACTTTTCAGCATACCCTCATGTTATATAGTTCATTGAAGTACTAAAGGATGTAATGCATCACATGAAAACTTTTCCTGCTTTATATAGACTTCCTTAAAATTGTTCTTGATATATAAAAATTTATATATCATCTCCACCCCTATATATATATATATATATATATGATTTTTTCTTGTGCAAATCAACTACAGGATAAAGCCTACTCTGAAATTGACCAATTCCAGTTGGTTTATATATATATATATATATATATATATATATATATATATATATATATATATATATAGTATGAGAGGTACATGTTAATCAGTTATTATTCTCTCCCCAACAACCACCACTTTATGCATTAAGGATCTGTTTTGTGGAAATGACAACCTGTAACTAGTAGCTTTTCCCCTTATGATTACTGCCTTGGGTCATCATGTTAAACGTGTACCTTTACTGGCTGGCCACCTTCTACTATAGGTAGGCCTTATTATCCATGACCTGACTTAGCTTCTTACTCCTACCAACTCATTAATTCTATTGTCACATCTCCTCCTCTGATTGGACCAACCTTCTTTCATTGTTGACTTTAGGTAACAAAAGTGTCTCCAGTTGACATCTTATCACATAGTGTGGTGGTAGTGTATCCTTGGATTAACAACAACAACTATATTTGTGTCACCAACTGGAATCAGTTTCCTCTTGGGTTGGATGACAAATAGATTTGCTGACCATCTGGACTTTTTTCGTTATAGAATCAGTTTTATTTTTCACATCACTTGGCCTGCACAGACAGTGACTGCCTTTCAATTTATCTGTGATGTATAAATGTTGCAGTCTGTGATTATTTGAGTCACTCTTTGTTACACCCAATTTTTTTTCTGGAGGAGGGGTTTAGCTATGGAAGCTGCTTCTGAACCATTATGGTGTGAGTATTTATTTTATCTTGTGCATATATATATATATATATATACATAATTATCAATTTGTAAGTTTTTATGCACTCTTCTTGGACTTGACTTACCTCAGATTTAGTTGCTCAAATAATTTAATCTTTTCTATTATCTTTAGGCTTGTATTACATGTTTCTGGAAGAGATGACATTATTCTGTGGCTACATTTTTCTTTGGCTTGTACAAGTGAGGCCACCCTCATTTAGTCGTTGGCCCTTTAAATTTGTCTTCATGGTGTTTTGCTTTTAACTTTGCTCTTTAGTTAGTTTTTACTTTATGTAAAAATTTTATGGTGTCTCTATTTCTGTTTAAACTTGCCTATTTTAATTTAGTATTATTCATATGACTAAACCATAATCCTATACAATATGTCACTACATTCACACACACACACACACACACACTCGTGTATATATATATATATATATATATATATATATATATATATATACACACACTTGTAGCTCATAGACAGTATGTACATAGGATATTATTTTAACTTCTATTTTTATTTACAATGCTTCATATTAAGCAGATTTATATTTTTGAACATTCTACTCATATTTGATCTAATCTGATTACTTTTTCTTTTCTATTGTCTCCTTTCACTCTTACTTATTGCAGGTGGGTGGAGGGATCATGGCTCTTGGCCACTCTTTAACAATACAATATTAACTAAGGATTACTTGGGGCTTTCCACTTGCAATTCCCCCCCTCTCTATTAAAAGATTTTATTCACTTTGGTTCTCTACATTTTTCCTATTCAAAATTCGACACATTTATCAAAAAAGGTGAGATGAATAAAAATAAAAAAAAAAAGAAATGTCACCTAAAGTTCTTATTATAAATGACTGATCATCTTGTTAGAGGCTTATAATGATTTGTTTATAAACCCATCACCACCAAACACGTGCATTTGGTTAGCCTATCGGGATGGTTGTCAGTAGGTTTTAATTTGTGTCATTTGAGCCATCATATTAAAAACTTAAAAAATTATAGTTTAATTTTATTAATTTCACATTGTTATATTTTCATGTCTATAAAACAAAACCTCATTCCGAAATTGACATGTCTGGGTTTGTTGAAAACCTAAAGATTTAACAATTTCTTTAATAAAATGAAATTCCTATTTATTTCTGCTTTTTTGGGTGTTGGATTTATCATCTGGTGATCATCTGTTGATGCTTAAATAGTCAGTATCTTTAATTATTTAAAATCTTTCATTTAACTTGTATGTTGAATGTGTAATTATCAATAAGAAATTGGTAACATGAATTTATCTCTCTCTCTCTATATATATATATATATATATATATATACACACACACACACACACACACACACATCTCCCTACCTATCTATCTCATATATCCCAGTTATTGGTAAATAGCAGGACAGACTGGGTTCTGTAGCCCTGGATGGCAACTGGTCTAGGAGGAGGATAACTCTGAATTCAAAGGCTCAATTGGGGACCTTTGTGGTACACAGTGCACCAGGTCTCTGCATCCGGCTCGACACAAAACCAAATCATATGTGCTGGTGTCTCGCTGTTGGTTCCTAGGAACTGAGCTTCTTGACCCTCATACATCAAATATGACGGGAGAGTCCACCATATATATATATATATATATATATATATATAACAGTGCATCTTGATTTTTTTTTTTTCTGGTACCATTTCCTAGAATTGCGTATATTATAATCTATTTGGCAGAAAAGACTTTTATGATTTTTAGTTATCAATTTTAAATTGATAAATAAAAATCCTAAAATTGATTGTAGAGATTTAAACTTTTTTTTTTTTTTTTTTTTTTTTTTAATTTATTAAAATAAAAAATAAAAAAAGTTTAAATCTCTACTTTAGTGACTGTCTAAAGCTTTGAAATTTTCACATCTAAAATTTGGAAAAATGTTTGATAGAAATACAATATTTTGACCGTTCTGCTATTCTGTGAATTATCTGTTTGGTCTGTAATGATCAACAAATCTTTGGGTGGCCATAGATTTGTGTTTTATGAGAGTGATAACTAAAGCTTTAAAATCTATGGAGATTCTGAATATACTCTTGATCAACAATTCTTCAAAAATATTTGCAAATATAAAAAAAAAAAAAAATAATTATTTTAAAAACCTTTTAAAACATGTTAAAATTCTCTTGCTTAATTTATGAACATTTCAAAATGTTTAACTTTTTTTTCTGTATTTGTCTGATTCTAGCTTCTGTCTCTTTACTTTTATTTTTGGTAGTTTTCTTTGAATCCTATTCAGTTATTTCCCTTGATTAACCATGCCAATATATTTGAGAATGTGACTGTAGATTTTATTTTTATTTATTTATATTTTTTTCAAAATTTTGCAATTACTTCCAGTTGCCAAATGGGGATGCTTAAACTTTCTTGAGATAGTGACTTGTTATTTTATACAAATATAACCATTTAGAATACACTGTCAAATTTAACAGCCAAAAATTTTGACAACTAAACAGTATAAATTTTATAATTGAGAATTGTTGTTTCAGAGTGAGTTTTTATTAAAAATCTGTAAATTTCAGAAAGACTTCACAATTTTTACAGCTAGACAATATTTTCAAATTAAGATGTTTTTGATAGTTTTGTATTTCACATAATTTGGTGGGCATATCTTTTGGTCCTTCAACTTAAAATCATTTCATTTTGATCACCACAGCAGGTTTTCTTAATTTTCTCTTTTGTTTTTACAGTTCTGGATCTCATATACTGGAGGGATGTCAAAAAAACAGGAGTTGTTTTCGGCAGCATGCTCTTCATCCTCCTCTCTCTGGCCATATTCTCTGTACTCAGTGTGATTGCATACCTCTCATTGGCCATTCTGTCAGTCACACTCAGTTTTCGTGTTTACAAGAACATCATGCAGGCAGTGCAGAAGTCTGGAGAAGGACATCCTTTCAAGTAGGTCGCTTTTTACATAAACTACTCATCATTAAAATTACATCAGTTTCCTTTCTAAAATTTCAAATTGATAGTGCTATTAAGAAATTCAAAATGTAATGGTTTGCTATATTTCTCCTCTAAAAAACATTTCTTCATTGGCTATGATGAATGCTGCATAAATAGAGATTAGGAGTTAATTCTTTGTGACTACATTTTTTTTATGAGAACTAATATGTATATTATCCCATGGTAACTGATTTTCCTTTAAGATTTATGTTGATAGCTTTTTATGTTACTTCAGTTAAACTGGGAGAATCCTTAGCCTATTGAAGTAGCTGTAATTCATTAATTAACAATCTAGCCCCCATTGAATGAAAAACAAGTTTGGCTTTAACTTTAGTAATTTTTTTTTTTTTTTTATACTAAAAAATGAAACTGCCAATATAATTATCTTGTTTATTGGGGGTTTTCACAGATTGTTCTATTTCTCCTGAAGTTTAGTTAAATGTTACTTTGAGCATTCATCAGTGAAGAGAATTTATACAAGTTGCTTGAATTATTTTGTCAGCTGATGAGAAAATGGATAAAGGCTGAAAACTGGAGAACCATTATGAAAAAAGAATGTCAACTGATGATATTTGAGAATCAACAGGACTTTAACAAATAGGAGAAATTTATCAGCATAAAGAAAAAACAAAACTGAAACAGATTTTGAGATAACTTCATGTGTCAATGAATTTATGATTCTAAAAATAATTAATCCTACATTTGTTTTGGAAGACTGAGAAAAAAAAACCTACTTGTTATGTTTGTGTTTCGTCTCTATATTTGAAGGGTGGAATGTTTGTCGGTAACAGTGTTTTTGTTATATTTATCAGTATTTACAACTTTATTGCTTTCTATACCTTGAATATATAGCCATTGATATCTACCAGTCCCCATCTTGCCTATAATTACTGCACTGGTTGGCACTGATAAGAAATGGTCTGTCCTTTTACTCCTAAAGTAGCTGCCAAAAATGGAACTTACCTATTCTACAAACAGGATATTTCTATATCACAATCTATACAGTAACGGTATTGACTCTCTCTGATTTATTCTTTGATTAAATTGTTTGTGATAATTTTCTTACCACTAAACAATATCAATTAGAAAACTTTCTCATAATCCATTCTGATAAAAGTAACTTTGTATTTTGTAAAGTTACCTACTTTGTCCTGAAGTAAATATAAAGATAGCTGCTTAGATCTTCTGCTGAGGAGGGAGTATATGCTACTGTTGTTTCCTGCTGGGCAAATAAGTGTGTGTGTGTTGTGTTGGTGGGGGAGGGGTATGTTAGTGCAGTTTCCTGCTAAGCAAATGGCATTTGTAATCATCTGACATTATCCTATTGTATATTCACTGATGACTAAATTTTGTTTTGCAGGGAATACCTTGAGTGGGACATTGAGCTTAATGACGCGAAAACACAGAAAGTAGTGAAACTTGTCATGAAGCACTTCAATGCAACTGTGCGAGAATTGCGAAGACTGTTCCTTGTTGAAGACCTTGTAGATTCTATCAAGGTAAATTTTTTCTTTTGTCATTCGACCTAATTCTACTGAGCAATGTCAGGAGGAAATCATTTACTCTCACTGTATAAGTGTTATTTTGATATAGCTGAAGACAATTCATGTCCCCAAACTATAAGGCCTCATCATTGAAACAATTTGGAATGCTGGCACAAGAAGCAAATAGAAGTTAATGGTTAATTTATATTACTTTATCACTTGGAAGGTTTAACATCAGAAACTGCTCATGGCGAAACACATTTTAACAGAATGTACTCACTTAGCACCTGTAAGAACGAGAAAACTATTTGAAAATACCAAACCCTTCAACATAATGTCCTACGTTACAGAAATTGGTTTATACCAAAACATAGAACACCTACAACAGATCATATATGAACTATATATCTATAGAACATACATTTACCCTGGAAGTATAAGATTATGTACAAAATACTTGTATTTGAAGGCATACATGTTCAAAATATTTAGATTTCAGCATTAGTGGTTGATATGCCACTAAATGAAACCAGCCAACCAATAAGAAGCTAAAATGTGTGGTTAAGCTTCAATGATTTTTAACTGGATGGATGGATGTATGGATGGTGTGATGGTTAATAGCTTGGAATTAGAAATTGGTGAATTGAGTTTCAGTTCTGGTCAAATTTGTTGCAGTTAATTTTGCACTCTTATATACTCTTGGGGGAAAGGTATGGTGCCATGTTCCCCCTCCCCACAACACCAGCCTACCCTAGCTATGCTTGGCGACCAGTCTGGAAGGACAGCTCTGAATTGCAAAACTCAGCTACTTACTGGAAAGCGATTATCTAAAATGCTGTTGATATCAATGGGCATTAATCCCAAAGGTGTCATCTGTCATGGTTTTAACATCACCAAATTTTTTTTATTTTTATATTTTAATCCAATGAAAAATGGGAATTTTCTTCAGTTATTTTCCTGTTACTGAAACTAATTCAATTTCCATTAGGAATTGGCATGAATTTCTTGTTTAGAACAATTATAAAATTTATTTGCTTATTAGCACATCAGATCAATATACATGCTCAACACAAAAATTGTTAACATTACACATAGAAAACTGTTTTGATGAAAGCAGTAAAAACTGATAACAGTTGGTTTGAATTTGTCTTGTTCTCTATTCCTTGAAATTCTCATTGTTGATAAAAAAAAAAAATATTTGTCCAACATTTGGTTGATTGTTCTCTCCTAGTGGCTGCTAGGACTTAAAGCAATCAAATGAATTTTGATTTGATCTTGTCAATGTTTTTGTCATGTAGAAATCTTCTATTGTAAATGTGAAGAGTTTTGATCGTCTAATGTCTGAAATAAATTTTCCAATTGATAATGTACATTATTGACATGCAAACACCTCCAGTAATCACATTGTTCTTACATCTTTACTCATAGATCCCATTACTGAGCATCATTGTTGAATAGACAAACATGGGGAAAACTATGACATGTAGAATTTTCACTCTATTTGAAAATATCTATCCCCTGAAGCACAAAAACAGCAAATACAAAACTTTTGTTACATGTCACAGGACATGGATATTGGTTTTGTAGGCTGCAAAGAGTGAATTTGTCATCTCCAAAGTCTGGATGGAGATCTGAGTAACCTGACTTTTTAACCAGGCAAAATTTGGACTTGTCACTGTGCCAGTCATAGTTTGATTCACTGATTTCATACTTATTGTCATCTGAGAAAAAGTGAACAGTTTGTATTTTGTCACTACGAATTTCTCTCTACCTTGTGGGCTACTTAGAAAAGTTTTTTTTTTTTTTTTTTAAATACTTCTCAAAATCTTGCATATCCATTCAAGTCTTTGAATTTGCTTTAAGCCTCTTGGATATCATCAAATCGTCCCAGGCAGTGGACATTTCAACAGTTTTCCTTAGATCAATTTGACTAAACTCTCTTGCATCTTAGATAACTCTGCCCCATGTTTAATGAGATTCTGTGAACCACTTGATTGAAACACAACCATTGATGACTAATAACTGGAAAAACTGCACCATTTTATAGTCATAGCTTCACCTACAACAGTCATCTGTGAAAAAGTCTTCTCACCATTTCTGGAACAGATACATTGATACAGTTTAATATTTCATTAACATTGTGTTTGGAATTTATTCTGCCATGTCTGGGAAAGGTAAAGCCTATACTTGGACACATACGCACGCATGCTAAGAATAAACAGCCAAAGTTGTTTTGAATTCATTTTCACTTGGCAAATTGGAATATTTTGCTAGAAATCCAAGTATAAATAATCTGGGTCCTGTTTTGCCAGTTTTGGCCATTCTCCTCCCCCCCTATTCATTGGCTTTTTCTCTTGTGTACAACCCTCTTCTTGATTACAACAACTAGGATTTTTCTCAACTCCACTAATTTTATGGCTATAGTATTGTTAATACCTAAATATCCTCAGTAGTTACTACTTTTTGGGTATGAAATTTGGCCCTTTTTTCTCTCCACAATCATTAAACTGCTGCCTTGTTTTATATGGGCTGATTTTAATGTTTAATATCAGAAAAATGTCTAGTTGGACATTGTGAAAGCTCAATGATATTTTCACCCACATATTGTATTAAACATAAAATAAAGATCTTGAACCTGAGAAATTCATACTAATTCCTCAGTTCTGTTTGTATGTTGTACTGACATCCTTGATATTTCAGTCTTTTGATAAGATGACAACTGATAATCTGTCTCTACTGAATATCTCTGCCAGCCATATATTATGACATATATAATGTATAAATGGTGGTAACACTGATAATCTGTCTCTACTGAATATCTCTGCCAGCCATATATTATGACATATATAATGTATAAATGGTGGTAACACTGACAGGTCTTCATTGCTAAAGATATTCTTAATAACCAAAATAAAAGATTCCTAATTTAGTTTTAGTAACGTGCACTATAATTCTTAAAATAACATTGGTTGATGCACAAATTATTTTTGCTTTTCATCTTTTGAGAATCTTGTATTACTTTGTTTGGTTTCAAGCCTTGCACACGCGTTTCTCACTTCAGGGAGGTGGATGAATTCTTTTCTTCTTCTTTTTTTAACATAGTAATTAATTAGTAAAGAAACCTAAACAATGGCTGTTGTCTTGATCAGTTTAGTGATCGATTTATCTTCAGCCACTTGTCCATGAATAATAATTTTTCTCTTGACTATCCTTTTGACTTTTCAAGTAACACAAATAGAAAAAAAAATGTTGGCTGAGAGCAAAGTTCCCCCCCCCTTAACACACCCATCAGTTATTATATACACTACTTGTCATTTTGACATGCCATGGATAGCTTTGACTTGAGGTCTGCCATCAATTGATGACAGTCTTTCATGACTAAAGGTTAGGAATGCAAGTTACTGCTGCACTTGACTAACAGGAAGAAAGCAACAAGACTTTTGTTGAATCAATTTTTGGTGTGGTTCATTTAATGACAGCCTAGAGAAACTTAAGTATAGTGTAATGTTTTTTGTAGCAATATTTGTTCCCATTACCAACGAGTTTGTCTGTTTCCTTCTATTTGGTATTATTTAAGTGGTTATTTTTAACAAGTAAATGCACACCAGGTTCTCTGTCTTTGAAGAGGAGGCATCATTAGGTGTCATTGATTTCTTTGGCCTTTCATTTTTGACCACTACCTCTTTTTTCAGCTTTGTACAAGGGACATGTGACTCTTTGATCTACTTGTATGTAACTTGGCCTTTCAGATTTTCACTCATTCTGGGAATTTAAGTTCCAAGAATCAACAAAAATTTATATATCTGGCATTTTTCTTGGTCTACTGCAGGACACGGCTTTCTCAAAGTCTAAGACAGACAAATAGGCTTTACTTTGCTATGCCATCTCATGATGTATTGACGGAGAATTTGAATTCGGATCTCTTCCTCCTAGACTAGTTACTGTACCAAGGCTAATGAGCCCAGTCTGTGTTGCTGTTTTTCTTGTTTTGTTTTTTCAAGAGATGGATTCATGCCTTTTCACAAGTGTATTAGAGAAAAGTTCACAACAACCTTGGCAGGAATTTGAACTTTGCCTGCAGATCCCATTTTCTGTATTTCAAACCATTATGTTACCCACCCACACATACACCAGTGTTACTTCCACTGACCATATGTAAGGAAAGTGGTGATAATGGTGATGGTACAGTTGTAAAGGGAGAAATTGAATCACAAAAACTAAATAGTTTTTATTTGTAGCTGCCAATGATGTGGTCACACAAATACCAATTTGTCCCATTCTTTTTCTTTGAAAGAACACCCACACACATTTTAGCCTGGTTATTCAGATTACTGTAGCAATTCTTAATAACACTAAATTAATTGAAGTAAGCTTAAGTCTTAGTTTCAAGTGTTTTTTGTCAAGTGTATCTTTGGATTTATTTTAAACAACAATTTATTTTTATATTTTTTTTTATCTTTTTTTACATGTTTTATGTAAAGATATTGAGTTAAATGTAGAAATAAATTCTACAAATTTTCTGATTATGAAATGCATTTTAATATTTGTGATATATTTATAGGAATTTATCAAATCTTCATGCAGACAAATAGAAAATTTTAAACTTATGCATTGCTTAAAATCTTGGTCAATAGCCAACACTGGCTTGCTATTTTTCTCAGTCTGTGATCAACAGATAATGATGCCTGTTAAATAAGATACTGTTTCCAGTTGTTGATGCTGTTAAAGCCATTGTCTCCCTCTTCATCCTCCTCCCCTTCTCTTCGTTGTTCTTCAACACATGGTTGACTCATTTCTAGTATCAAATTTCTCAGGTTGCTTACAAGTAAATTTCTTGTTTTCATATATACACATACGTGTGTATATATATATATATATATTTATTTATTTTAAAGGGGAAAATAATTGTGCATAAATGCTTATTCCTCATTGTCTCTGTCGGGAAAAATTGGGCATGAACCAAGAGTCAGCATCACTTAAAGAGGAGTGTGATAAGATTGTGAAATTTTTATAGTACTAGCATAGGTTATCTATTCATTTTAGTATTGAAGTTTTTTTTTGTTTTGTTTTTTTCATTATTTATGAAAACAGATTTCATTCTGAAAACAGATTGTTATAGAAGCTTTGAAACTACTGGACATCCCCCTCCCCTTTTCCTCTTGATGATTCAGGGAAAGAAAATTTGGTTAGATCGCAGTGACATGCTAGAATAAACAACCATTTATAATAATGAAGAGACTGCATGGCCAGGAAAAAGAAAAAAAGTGGTATAAATAAATTTATCAAAAACTATTAATACTTTTTTTTTTTTTTTTTTTATGTGGGGGAGGGGGGTGCACATTTACTTGACTGTCCAGGTTTATGCCAAATCACTAAAAAGCCTTTTTAAATTCTCTTATAAAGAGATAGGGGATAAGATTTTACTAGTACAAGTGTATGAGAGTTTCCATTTGTAGAGTAAAATAAAAATGACATCAATGAAATAAAAACTTTATCTAAAATAGAAATGTTGATTTTCTTGAAGAATGCGATTGCTCTTCCATTTATGAAAACGATTTTTCATTTACTGCAAAACTTTTCATTTTGTATGTTGGCAAAATGGGATTTACAAAAGAAATTCACATTGTCTGAATTTGAGACAAGGAATTCTGTTTTACTATTCAGACCTTATCTTAGTTGTTATAAACACAATGTTTCAGACAATGAATATTTTAATTAGTTTGAATAAAGAGTTTGAAGTTTCGAGATTGCTGGAAAGTACAATCTTCAGGATGTAGCAAGCATGACAAGCAAAGCATGTTAGCTTGAATAGCAGGTGACGTTAAAATGTTTAAAAAAAAAAATAACAATTAGTTCTAGCACTACAATTGATTTGGCAAATAATACCATATTAATTAGAAAATGTAAAGAAAAAAATATCTTCCAATGTCTTTTGTTTTAACAAAAAATAAAAATGTACAAATAGTTTTAACCATCAACTGTTATAAATTATGATTAACTTCAAAATTTCTCGTCATCTTTTAACATGACATAATTTATACAAGTGTCAATTTTTAATCAGGCTAATCTATCATTTCATGAATCATTTTGATTTAACAACTTCCATTCATCACTCTGCAACTCATGACAATCATGTAAATGAATTTTCCTATTTATTTAAAAAAAGAAATTCTTTTTTCCCCTCAAATTCTTCAAGATTTATAAAAAGCAATTTCTTTTGAAGATTGACAAGGTGTATAAACAGATAGTATTAGTAATTACCACAATGACTATGACTTGACATATTTTAGACTGGAAAATGTTTGCAACATAAACCGTTAATGGCATTGATTTGATTTGTTATTCTGTTGGTTTTATTTTAGTCCTAAATGCATTGAATAATGAATTTTACTTCCAAGTGATGCATGTTCCTTTCCAGTTTCTTTTTAGTCTGTTATTATTTGGTGTCAAATGTTAGTTGCTTATTGCTCTACCTTAATCTTAAAATAAATAAATAAACAGTTCTTTCTTTTGAAGAAGTGATAGTTAATGACCAACTTGTCTTCAGTTGAGTGATCAGTGATATCTTAGGATCTGTTATTTATTTACTGTTTAAAAAACAGTTTATAGAAATCAATTTTGACTGTGAGGAAGGAAATTTTATTAGAATTGCTTGCATCCAGCTGAATTAAAATGAAAAAAAAAAAAAAATAATCAGATTAATTTTTTTTTAATTTCTAGAGAAAGGCCAAACAACTTTGTTGCCTAGGAGATTTGATGGCCAAAAAAATCAATAATGAAATCAGTGATTAGTTTTCTAGTTGCCATTATTTCAGGCAACAAACACCACTTTGACCTCGATGCAAAAATGTCTTGAACAAGAAAATTATTTTATTCTATCATTTTTTTTTTATTTTTAAATATTTTTTTCTGTTCTTTCAATAGTTAATTTTTTGCTTTCCTTTCATAAATCTTCCTTTGAAGTGGATTTCATATTTTGTAAGCAGAAATCAAATTGCAAACATTTAAAGGCATGTAACTACAAGAAAATATTTTTTTAAAAAAATACTTTACGCAAACATATGAAATAATGTTTGTATATTAACATTCAGGGCACAGTGATTAAATTAAAAAAAAAACAATTATTAATATTGTAATGAATATGTACAATGCTCAAAGCATTTTAAGTACAACAGAAATTTATTTTTCAACATAAAAAATGCATTAATCAAATGATACTCTATTCATCACATAAAATCAAACATTGGTGTGAAATTATTTTTTTTTTTTTTTTTTTTTAAATTATAGTGGAAATTTCTGATCAAAATTCATTTAATAATTGTGTCAGCTGAAAATTTGTTAATACTTTTCTACATGTGTAAAATTAGCAGTAAGAGAAACTTCTTTTTTGTGTCTACAATATTATTAATTTTACTTATTTTAGTTTGGACTTTTGCTGTGGGTGCTGACTTACATTGGATCCTGGTTCAATGGAATGACACTGATTATCAACAGTAAGTAATTTTGCTATTTTACCATCAGTTGATAAAACAACCGAAATTGAACATTTCACCACTACTTGCAGTTACTTTCTTTTTAACTTTTCTTCTTTGGCTATACTGACCTTTTGAAAAAGAAAGGTATGGTCAGTGCCCATCATAGTACATTTAATGAGCCTAATTTGCTAGTCTTGTAAATTCAGTCTTTCCTTTGTGCCCCATTACTATGACCTTTTACCAGATTAAACTTTGTAACCCCCTATATATATAGCACACTTGAAAGGATTTAATGTGTGTTGGATGTCAGATGATCCATATTCATACATTAATTTGAAGAACAATGGTGAATATCAAGAGGTTTTCAATTGAAATTTGCTTTAAATTTTTCATTCATTTTATAAGCAATGAACTGAATTGGAAGTGGGGGTGATAATATATACTTGATCTCTTTGTCATCTTTATTATTATTATTATTATCATTTAAAGTAATGTACTCTTATAAAATCCTCATTAATTTTATTTGAATTTGAAGCCAGTTTATTTAAGGATCATTTCCCCAAGAAATATTTCTGAATTTTCTTTACATTTGTAGTATTAACAGTTCTTCAGTGGATCACTAAAATGTATTGAGAAAATGTTGTTTTTATTGCTTCCCCCCACCCCCATCCACTACTTCTAACCCCCTAAATTTATATCTTTAATATCCACTGGTAGTGAGAATAAAAATCATAACATTGCCGTATACTGAAAAATGTATTTTAGAAACAAAATTCATTCCTAATTTTTACTGTTTATTTTTTTTTTTTTTTTTTTTTTTGTAATAAAACTTGTTGAAATAATCTTGCTTTATTATGTGATTTTTTTTTTTTTTTTTCACCCTTTCTAGGTGTTGTAATAGTCTTCACTCTTCCGAAGATCTATGAAACATACAAGGTAAGCTTCTTTGTCCTACTATGACTATTTAGTAAGTTTAGCTAAATGGGAGGAGATAGTAGGGTTTAAGGATTACCCTTAAAGGAAGGAGGATATGCTTGCTTTAAAAATCCGCATTCAAAATCCTCTAATTTTAGACTGTTGGTAAAATGTTCAATTCTCTCAGTCATCACCACCACAACATGTCTAATTGCCATGATGCAATTAATACAACTGATAGATTTCTATTCAGATTAATTTGATAAATGACACAAAATCAGATTTAACATCACAATATCAACATAGAAATGCTCTTTGCAGAATAAAGAGTTATTTGGGGTTTTTTTTAAAGTTACACCCATTGTTGGATTAATTTAGTGGTAAAAATGAAAATATTTGAAAGCCATTGAGTGTGTAAAAAAAAAAAAAAAAAGAAAAAAGTATTCTTCTAAAACAAAGAAACAGAAACTATCGTCTAAATGAAAGATTTATAAAATAAGTTGTTATTCTAGAAGTTTATACAAATACGAGCCTCAAACTGTTACAATTGAACCTTCAGTTGCAACTAAATACCTAACTGTTGCGAATTCAGGGCACTAACTTTGAGCTGACACAAGTTGTACTATTAGTGCAGTTGCTATTCTAGAGAGATCACAAGCAAACTGACAGATTTGGTCTTGTGTGCAAAATCATTTGTATGGGTAGCAGAGGAACATCAGCCAATATCTGTCAGCTATCTTCACTGCCCATCACAATTCTTTGCTATAATTGTCTAATTAATTTCTTAATGAAAATATAAAATGAAAGAATGGCATGTAATTTGAGCACAAACAAACTATTTTTATGTGGATTATTTAAATGTAACTTTGAGAGGAAGCCACGTTGATTACTATGAATGAGTGTTACAGGTTTTAACCCCTAAAGTGATGTTTATTCACTTGAATCTCCTAAGTATGATTTGCTCTAAGAAATAACTTAATTGCAGTTTATTTTAGTCCAGTGTCTGCAGTTGTAAAATCTACATTAAAATGTTTTAAAAACTTTTATCAAAATATCCTGATTTGATTCATTTACTTATCATTGCATCAGCTTTTGACAGACTTTGCTTTATTAAGTTCAATTAAGTCATTTTTTTTTTTTCTTTAAAGAACAAAATTTGAAATATTATTAAGTAAACTGATGATTTCTCCCTCTGATAATAAAGTTAAATCTTGAACAGAGAAAATTCTTATTGTGAATTAAAATATCTATAAGTCTACCATTCATCCATGCAGAGAATATTGCTGCCACATATGGTCAAGTGCCTGTGCTATTTACCTTGAGCTCTTTGGTAAAATCCAAAGAATAATCAGCAATATTATTGGTCCTGACCTGGTGTCTTGGCTTAAATCACTTTCCCACCACCATAAGGTTGCCTCTCTGTGTATTTTCTATAAATACTTCAAGGTAATTGTTTGGATTAGCTCTTTGCTATGGTACCTAGCTTTTTTAAATTTAAGCGCAGTACTAGACAGGTGTCGAGATCTCATCAATTTACAGTTGAGCTAGCTAGATGTAGCTGTAAGTTCTATGCTAACAGTTTCTTCTCTTGCACTTCTTGCTTGTGGAACTTCCTTCTGGCTCCATGCTTTTCAGCCAACTTTAATCTTCAAAAACTTTAAATACAATGTCAATCACTATCTACTGTTTTCCTAATTACCTCTTTTGTCTTAATATCTTTACTGCCTTGCTTGGAGTGGATACTGATTTTAAAAGTTATTTAGTATTGGTAATTATCTGAGAATTAATTTTGTTTCTTGCAGGTCCAGATTGACAATTACTTGGCTATGGCAAGGAGTCAGTTCAACAAAATCCTTCAGCAGTGAGTTTGGTTTTTTTTTTTTTTTTTTTTTTTTTTTCCTCCCAAATTATGTTTTTCTCTTGCTACTTACTCAGAATTGCCAAGTGTCTATTGGAAGAATCAATAGTCTTCCCTAAAAGATTAATTTCATATGAATTTATCAGTATGATTTCTTCAATTTATCAAACGTCTTTGTATTGTTTTGGATTCAGGAAACCTGAATGACCAGGTCTTAAATGACATGCAATTGCCTATTCTTGATGATTTTTTTTTTTTTTGAAATGTTCAGCTCACATTCAGGAAAATAAAAACAACTTGACACCTGAGAAAGAAAAATAAGAATTGGATAAAAAAATATTCATATAAAATCTTTTTATTTTATTTTTCTTTATTTTTTGTTTACAATTTCTACAAAATAAAACCTTTCTATCTTCATTGTTCAATTCCCTTTTAGTAATTTGCAGTCAGTCACTGAAACATTTACTTTCTAATCATTTTTGCTTGTATTTTTTTTTTTTTTTTTTCCCTTCCTTATCAATCAGTCCATGGTAAGTTTTTGTCAATGTTGTTTTTTTCTTTTATATAACTTGGTTTTTTGCTTATCAATTGGAAATAAAAGCTTTGGGTTTATAGCAAGTGCAGGAAAGATGATAGCAATTATTTCGTTTTTATATGCACCCATATTATTCATTGTAAGTGAATATTTATCAGACGTTTCATTGTAAAAAAAAAAAAAAAACCCCCAAAGTATTAGTGCTGATAATGTGAAATGAAGTAGCCTATAATGAATGGCATTTTACTGTCTTGTGTTTGAGCATAAATTCTGTATAAAACTTCAGTCAGTGTTTACAGTGATTTGAACTTTGTCAGTTCTCTTTTCAAACCAGTCAGAAACTTAAGTCATAAATATCAGAAAAGAGAAAAAAAATCTTACTGTTCAATCAACAAGCAAAGTTTATCTCAACACTTTTCTGGAGTTGGTCTGGTCTTTATAAATAATGAAAATTCAGTTTTGATTTTCTCTCAAGATTATAGATTTTCTCTCTTGTGCATCTTTCTCTCTCCATGTTTCTAATTTTCTAAAACACCAACATTCAACACTTTTTTTATTAGCTGCTTTGTTTCTGAGAAATTGTTCTCCCTTTCCTGCTACAATGTCTTTCCACACACAATAGATCTGCTGCTATCAAATGTCTTGCTATATAAAAACCATCATTTCAAACTCTTTGTAAACTCTGTTTACTTTATTATGCATAATTGATATCCTAAATGAAACTTTTTATTCTCCACAATACAAAACTTAACATTTAAATGTTAGTAAAAACCACAATGAATTATTAAACAAAAATTGCTGTGTGAAAACAAAAGTAAAACTTTTCTTTACCAATACATTTTGTCCCTTGAGAGACATTAGCAAAGGTAAATGTAAGCATTTTATAAGCAGAAATAAAGTGGAAGAAAAATGAAAAAAAATTAAACTTAAGACTTATTTTTCATGTTGTTTTTTTTTTTTTTTTTTTTTATAGATATATATATATATATATATATATATATATATATAATATGGTGTGTGTTGTTGAAGATTTTGGTCCACATTTGACTAAATGATTTTTTTAAATTAATAATGATAAAATAATCTTTCTATGATCTTTTATTCTGTTTTCTTTAACTTTAATAATTCCATGCACAATACAGAAGTTTTAATCACTGAACACGGCTAACAATTTTCTGCTTATTAAATGATTTCTTTTTTTAACCTTCAGTCTCTTCATTTCAATGTACAATTTCTACAAAATCAAAAACTTATGTGCAGTAAAAGGTAACAAGGCTAATGTATGATAGAATTTCAAAAAAGAACCAACACCAAGTATTGAGAAACTGGATTAATGCATTATCTGTAAATCCTTGGATCTTCTTTAGGTTCTTTGTAATCCAGAAATGACATTTGCACCATCCAGCTCTAGAGGAGGACACATTTCCTTGGGCAGCAGCACTTCCTCTCAGTAGACTTAAATGGGTAGGGTCAGGGCAATTTTTGTCTTTGATCCCATTTTGAAAACTTTTCAAGGAGTATAGTAATAATAATATCAATGCCTAATCTTGGTGTCGTTTAACTGCAGACAGGTGACAAGGAAGGATATAGTTTAATATTTACATTGTAGTCATTCAAATCACTAACAGCTGCTAGTTAAGTGGATATTAAAAAGTGAAAAGACATTCAATTTCATCCTGTTTTTTGTTTTTTTTTTGTTATTGTCATTTTTATCTTTGTTCTTTCCTGCACTCATATAAACAGATGCTAATAATTGAATTGGGATCTGGTCTCTCTCTCACTTGTAATCTTTTGTCACTTATTAATTTGCTTTTATATCTGACTCATTTAAACTTCAAACTGAAGTGTATATTAATGGACTGATTGCAAAATCACATCAGCATTCTTTAGTTGGCCATTTATTGATTGGATTTTTTTTTCTTTTTCAATATTATTAAAGATGATTAGATTTGAAATTCCAATTCTTTCCATTTGTCTGCAATGATTAAATAGCATTAAAAAATATAATATCCAAATTTGAAGTTGTTTGAAGATTTAAACTCACCCCATCATGCAGATGATTTTTTTTTTAAACTTACCAAACTGTGTCATTGATTCTGTCATCTTGGATGACAAGAAAAACTGCTCTACTTCAAAAAGCATAAAATCATAAGTTTTCAATGCATATGTTTTGCTAGCTTCTCCCAATTTTAGACTTACAATTAATGTCTATATTAATTGGTAGGAGTTTCTCATTGCATTATCTTGTGATAACTTTTCCTTTTCCTTCAACACTATTTTATCAAATTATTTGTGAAAGCAAATACTCCAATTGTCTTCAGACAAATTCTTATCAAAAGCAAAGAAAACAAATATTTAAATCTTTATAAAATGAAATAAAAATCTTGCAAATTTTTTTTTTTTTTTTTTTTTTTTTTTTGAATAGTTTATTGTGGGATTTTATGATATTCAGTGTTTGATTATGTCACCCTCTTTGTTGTGGGATTTTACACTATTGATATGAGTGTGGACATTTTATAGTAAATATTTATGGGCTCCTGGAATTTTGGTCTTCAACTTCAAAAAAAAAAAAAAAAGAAAAGTTTTTTTTTTTTTAAATTAAGAACAAAAAATGTTTTTCTTAATAAGGTGGCTATGGGGATTTTCCAAGAAAAAATTTGGCTAGAGCCCTGTGCAGATATATTTTCAAAGAAAAGAGGTAGATGAAAGGAATTTCAACAAATTTATTTCAATTGTGTAACATTTGTTTTCCAGAAATAAAATGAACATCATATGTATAAATATGCGTGCACACACACACACACATTACATAGTAATAAAACATTTCATTTTAAAATCACAATACTTAAATAGACTGGGCCCGTCAAAAAGGAAAGAAAATTACATGTCAAAAAGTCACGGCTCAGTTTGTATTTATATTGTAAACAGAACCCCCCTCCCCATCAAAAATAATTCAAAATTAGTGTTTTTTGATTCTGAAAAATTGCCTGTGTAGAGGAAGTTCTGAATGATAGCCAACAAAAATTTTTTTGTGAAAAAAATTTTTTTTTTTTTTTTTGTTTCAATAGTTATTTTGATTTTTATGCTGAAAAAGTTTTATATTTTTCTACAGCAATACAACAATCTTGTTCTTTCTACAAAATATTCTAAGCTAATAATGTTGTAATGATTTTCTTTTTTTTGAAAATGTTCCACTGCAATGTATCATTGCTAATAATTCTAGTCATCATCAGAATCTGTTATTTGTCAAAAATATTTGATTTTAAAGCTTTTTGTTTATTTGTATCATTTTTTAAAGATTTTGTTAATATTACTTTTTACAAATAAAACGTAAATTTTGCAAATTCTAAAATAAATTCTTGCAATGCCCTTAGTCATTGCCTCATTTTTAAGGGGTCCACCAAGGCAATTTTTGCCTGCCCCTGTCAGGCTAAACTCATCTGTGTGTTTGTGTATATTATAAACAGACCATTTACTTGTATCTATAAAAAGAACGTATAAACATAAAAAAAAATGTCTTAATATATATATATATCAAATGTTGGGTCCTTATTCTGCAACTGTTATGTGGGGCAGCATGAAAAAACATGAGAAATAAGACGTAAGATGGGCTAGACAAAAATGTGTGCTTTGTCTAAGAAATTTGTATATTATCTTCTTTCATCCAGTTTTTCTTTTTACTTTTATTTTTGTCTTTCTCGCGGCTCATTTGGCATTTTTACTTTTGAGCATCAAATGAGAGATTCCCTTTTGACTTTTTTTTTTTTCTTTTAGCATTTCCATTGAAAGTTTAAAAATGACCTTTTTAATGTGTTTGTGATTTTAAGTTTTTGCAATTCTTTTCTCTCTTTGTCCAGGGTGCAATCAAAACTGCCATTTTTGAAGAAGAAAGCTAAGGCCCAGTAAAGAAGGCTGGATGTGAAAGATGGGAGATCTCAGCTGTAATCCTACCATGTCGTCATCAAGTGGTCAGCACGTGGGTTAGGATGAACAGTGGGGTGGGTGGGGGAGGGGGTTTAAAGAGAGAAGGAATCATCAACAAAATAAGAAAAATTAAGTGAATGAATATTATGAAGATTGGGGAAGAAAAAAGTGAAAGAAAAATGTAAACAAAAAAGCAAAATTGGCTAAGGCAGCCATTAATAATAATGACTTGGTTGTATCATGTCTCAACTTATCTAGGCAATCAGCTTATTTTTTAATTTAAAATCTCTAACATTCATTAAAATATTTTCTTTATATGTTGGCACTGTTTAAAGTGTATTTCACTATTCTAATTTTTTAAAGAACTTTTTAATTTCTTATTTCTATAAATACCCAGCCCCACCCCCAACATCCCTTAATAAAAAAAAATATTAAAACAAAAACAAAAAAATATTTTTCCTAATGTAGTATGTTCCTCCATCAATATTGCTGTGTCACGATGATTTAGTGGTAAGCCATCCATGTTTAACCCATTGGAAACTTTAAAAAAAAAAAAAAAAAAAACCTTAAAAAAAATAAAAACCTTCAGTATTCTTACTTGAATGAATAATTGAGAAGCCAGTCTTATCTACTTGTGAATTACCCTGATCACCTTGACAACAGACCAAATGCTGTTAGATCTTCTACTTACCACCACCACCACCACCATTATACTATCTACTTGTATCTAACTAGGATTGTTCTTTAGGTCTGTCTGCTCTTTAACTATTACTCCAACCAAATTTGTGCCTCTGCTTCTGAACTCTGTAAGTATGACTTAAGTGCACATTAGACGTGTTGTCTGAATTGATAATAAACTGTTTCCCCCCTCTCAAATGACAACTATAAATATTAGTGTTTAAAAACACTTAAGAACTGACCATTATTAACTTTTTAGGTAGATTTAATATAATCTCTCTCTCTCTCTCTTTTTAAATTTCTTTATAGAGAGGAAAATATTTAAAAAAGAAAAAAGCAAACTACAAATTGGAAACTTTGTTCTTTCAAAAAAAAAAGCCAAACTTTGTGTGCAAGCTTCAAGTGGTAAAGATATTGATTTAATTTGTCTTTTTTTCCTTTTTAATGAGAAAATATGTTTTATACATCTAATGAAAACTGTCTTGCATTATGTGGCTTCTTTCCTCGCAGCGTGACACACCTGAGCAATTTCAAAGTTGAACAAAACTGAAAGAATAAATAAATAAAACAAGTCTACCTTTTTTGCCTCTTGTATTCCAACTGTTTTCTGGCTTTTCTTCTTTCTTCTCTCATCTCCCACCATTCCACCTCCATTTTTTTCTATTACCACTGCTTATCCCCCCATATGATCCCCCCTTTTATTGGCTTCTCCTCCTACCCACCCCCTCTCCCTTTTGACAGTCATGGTGAGCCATTATTTTGTTTTGTCAATCAGTCTCTCTCGATTCTGCCTGCCTTGCAAGTATTGCTATTAACTGTAGACACTCGTTGGGCACTGTGCACTGGACTCTGTTCTCAATTCCACTTTGCAAACAAAACTCAACCAATGTCTACAAAAAAAAAAATAAATAAAAACCACAAAAGGAACAGAGTAGACAGTCTGCCTAGTCCTTGGCCATGTTATTCCTAGTGCATTCATTCCATTCATATTTTGTGTAAAATCTGCAATAATGCAGTTGGATGGCTTTTCTCTCAGATGAGGGATTTTTTTTTTTTTTTTATTTACCCAAACATTCTTCTATTACAAATGGCTTAAATTTGGCTCTTTATAAAAAACGCTGGCAAATTATTTCTCACTCCAAATTCATTGTATTTCGTTTCTGTGCTTGTAGAATCCTCAGCTGGTAATGTGGTGACCTCAGTTGTCTTTTACTGACTTTTGATTTCTTGCTCATCATTGCTTAATGCTTCAAGAATTTACTTTCTTTTTTATGAAAGAAAAAAATGTTTTCTAAGAACAAAACACAAATTCACTGGACTGTTTCTCTTTCTTTTTTTTTTTTTTTTTTTTTACTATAAAAAAAAATTGTTTTCTATTCAGAAAACTTTATTTTCACTCAAGTATGAAAAGCAGTTGCCATCCAATCCTACACAGAATTGGAAAATGTCATTTTTCTCATTCAAAAAAGGCCTTATATAATTTTTCTTTAATCTTTCATCATTGACTCTATTCTAAAATTACATTTCTAACTAGAATTGAAAAACTGAAAATTTATGCAAGTAATCAATTCAGTGGGTTGAACTTTCTTGAAGATGCTCATTGGTTCTGTAATTTTTGGCATTCAATTTTAGTTGTAAATTTTAGAAATAGTTTTTGTTTGAAGCAAAACAGATTGGGAGAGAGAAGTCCCAAGAAATAATAAGGGTCTTTTTTTTTATGATTTGAGAAAAATGAACCTCTATATATAAATATATATTTTTTCTTTATTATGAAATTTGCAACTACAGCATTTTCCTTAACCCCCCCCCCCTGTCACTTGCTATTGTAAGCCTATTGCAACATTGGGCTGCAACATTGGGCTATGCTTCTGAGGTTTCTTCCACATTTCTTAGCCTTTTGGTTTCAATGTTGTCACTTGTATTTATTGTTCTTATCTTGTGCAAAAACAAAAAATAAAGAGAGAGAAAGAATTTAGGAGTGAGGGAGATAAAATGTATGGGGGGAGTGAACTATACTCTCAAAAAAAAAAAAAAAAAAAAAAAAAAGCATGGCTTATGCACTGGCAACTTTAAAAAAAAAAAAAAAAAAAATGAAAAGATTTTGAAGGGCCTTTCTCTCCAGCTTCAACTCTGTGCACGGTGTTTATATCCAACCCAACTATCAGACTTGCAAAACAGTTGTAAAATGTATTAAATATATTGTTGAAATATTTTTGTGTCCTGCTTGTCTCTCTTCTAACCTTTCTGGTTTTGTCTTCTTGTTGCTGCAACTCTGCCCCCCCCTCCACCACACACTTTTGTTTGTCTTCAATTCTTTGCAAATTAATTTCAATCCTTCTGTTACCTGCTTGTCACTTTCAATGTCAAATGTGAAGGAACAAATAAGCATTAAACTGAAATTTAGTTTGAAAAAAAAAAAAAAATAATATCCAATAAAGTGAAATTTTCTTTCAATGGTTATTTAATTCTGCCTTCAAAAAATGATAGCAATATTTAATTTTGTAATTACTTTGTACTTAGAAAATCAAAACTTTTACATTTTCTTGCTTATATACAATTTCCCCGAATATTAAAAAAGTTTTATTCACCATTGAATAATTGGTTTCTAAGACAGCAGAAGAATGAGAATTTGTGATAAAGAAAAACTCGCACATTATTTTATATAGAGATTATTTTGTAATAATTTCTGATTGATTTGATTTTTACAGTCTAAAGTTCCCATTTAATGCCCCACGGAATTCAGCAAGAAATTGAAACTTGCCTCCTTTGACAACGACCTCTTGAAGGGATCATGAAGAATTCTGCTTTGTCTTTTAAGTCGTTAAAAGTAAAAATATACAAAGAAATAAAAATCAATATCTTAGCAACCTGGTCTCGCTACTTACTAATTATTCTGTTCTAACAAGGCATGTTCACTTTGAGTGGCACTAAGTAAATACTTTTGTTAGCTTTTACTCTTAATATTTTGCTGTTATGGCATCAAGTGCAACACATCAGCGATCACAAATTTTGGTTCTGTAATCAAATTGTTCTTTTCTAAAATGCTTGCAGTAAAAAAAAAATATATCTGAGTAAGTTTGATTCTACTTTTGCATGGGCACTATTTAGAATATTGGAAACTTTTGTTTCAGTGTGTGTGTGTATATATATATGTATAAAGAAATATACTCTTAAGGTGTGCTATATTTATGGGATAAAGTGTTCAATATCAGAGATAGAGTATATGTAAATATAAAAATGTTCACTTATATATATATATATATATATATATATAAATAGTAAGGAGCAGTTTTGACTTTATTTTATAGAGAATGCAGCTGAAATACCTCTCCCAAACATAATGGTTATACATTAGTTAGATGGAGACACTTTTGCCACACCCTTGCTTCAGAATCATTGTTATATGTATTTTGGGTTCTGGTCATGTGTAGGTGCAGCTGTAATTATTTTGTTAATCTTAATATCAAAATAACTACAACCATATCCCAAACTATTATGAATCTGACCAGAACCCGTGGTGGGGGCAGAGGTTTTTGACAAATGGAAAACGTTCATGAAAGTATTTGTTTTGAAATATTTCTGATTATGCATTTTGCCATTTTCTTGTTTCTTTGTCTTTTAGTCTAGAGAAATGCCAGCTTGCGAGAAAATAAGATTAGATTATTTAAACATAAACACGTCTCTTTGCTTTCAGATCAGATGAAGCCTTAAATGGTAAAATGTATAATCAGATATATTTCATAAATAAATATACATTCATAAATGTTTTTCACTTGTCAAAAATTTAAAACTGTCTGGATCATATATCCTAATTTTAATATATATGAGAATCCTAGTAATTCACTTCTCAAACTTTGACCCAAACAACAGAATTTTTGCAGGTTGGGCTGAAAACTTTTCATCATCTAATATATATTTTATTTGACAAGATTCCCTTGCATTTTCAGAAGTGGAAAGGGTGACACTATCAATAATTTATGGGACCATTGTTACCATTAATGAAAAGACAAGAAACTAGTAAATTTTTTGCTTCATGCAATGAATTCTTTGATATTTTCTTCCCTCACCCCCTCTTCGTTTTCACAGCTTTTGAAAACTTTTTCTACTTCATCGTTATCAATTGGAAATAATCTAAATAAGTCTTGGCTACATGCACAAAGAAAAATTTGAATTTTCAGTTTGAAGTGGAATGAATATTAAGTTCTTTTGTAATTGCTGATTTAATTGCATGAATTTTTGTGGAATCTGAATAAAGCTTGTAAGTCCCCCCCCCAGGTAAGTTATAAAGACGTCTTGGTTGTTGG